CCCCAAAACCCCAAAACCCCAAAACCCCAAAACCCCATTAAATTTTTATAAAATTGAAACAAACAGACTAATACAAACGAATAACAAGCGAAAGAGGAACTTAATTTTGGATGCCATTAATGACTTCTGTAGTCTGCCATTACGAGTGAAGCTAATTTTTCTTACTTTAAACAATGTTTTAAAATGTTTAAAAGTGATAGCTCACTTTTTGTTTGGAAACAAAGTAAAAACTAAAGGTTTATAGAAAGCTCCCATTCCTAACAAATGCAAAGTTTATTGAACTAGCGGTAAAAGAATGAGATCGCCTCAGGCTTTCGAGTTCATCGACCATTCTTGACTCAATGGTTAAACGTTACACAAATTATTTTTGTGAACCATTAGACCAGACATTTGATACCCGAAAGCAACAATTCAGAACGGTTATTTACAGGTTCTTGCCAACTCTGTCGTCATTGTAGGGATGCCTTTTGCTTTTCCTGTTTTCTTCGAACACAAGGTTTTTACGCCCTTTCTCAAACGAAAGATTAAGCAAAACTGGTTTGTCCTTAAAACTACATGAAATTAGCAAAGCCAATGTAATGATTTTCAAATATTTGACCGACTTACCTTAAGTTTCCGCTTTTGTTGACTTTTATCTAGAAATGAGACAATGCTTGCTTACTCCTGATAATCCTTCGTAATTCTTGATTCTGATGTCGTAGACTCTGCTTCTTTTTAGGTCTGAAGGCAGTTAGTTTAAAAAGTGGACTCAACCCAAGAATAACCGTTAAGCGGAGAATACCATTAGGTGCATAACAGTCATTAAGTAGTGATACACAAATATCTAAGACTGTTTCTGAGTCACTGAGACCCAACGATAAAGAGACAAGAGCTGCATCGACCAGCACGACTAGCTTACCTTTCTTCGGAAGCTGCTTGGACAAGTCTTCTCTGTCCAGGTCTCGGGGGTGATTCTTGAACTGAACTGAAGGCTGTCCGTTTTTGCCATGACTAGCTTTGAAGTGGTCTTTGCGCTTGTTAATGTCCAAGTGAAGCTGGACTGTGCCATCCTTTTTGTTTTTGAGAAGAACACTTTTGCACCGCTCTTCAGACGAATGCTTGCCGCCTGAAGTTGTTTTGTAAACCTTCGGGTCTATTTCATGGGGCTCGAAGTCTTTGCTGTTGCGATGCTTTGTGGCTGCGATGAGATCCTTCTTCGACCCATTCCTAAACAACTGTGTGGCTTCTGCAGCCTTGAATGTAAATGACAATGTGTGAAGTGTCACTGCACCCACTCAAAATGCTTACTTATATTTCAGGCAGAGTTCGATGGTCCGTTTCTTGTTGCTTGAACTGTTCTACACGATTAGTCGGGCGTACTTGGTCGTTGGGCTGGCCTTCTTTGGGACCTCTGAACGTGATCTCAAGGACCTTGCCACGTCTGGAACTGGAGTACCTCTGTTCGCTCCCTCGGTTGCTCCGGATCGTCACTTTCTGCGAATGGATTTTGTGCCTGCCTGCGTTGTTGTGGGCGCCTCTGATTCTGTCTTTGATGATTCGCTTTGTGCTTTCGTAGCTCTTAGAAAGATACGCATCTGAGTTGTAGCCCTTTTGATGTGTGTTCGGTTTGTAAGCCTGTTTAAAACTATCACGTTTGGCCTCTTCTTCAGAGTACTTGTGCTTATGAGTCGAACTGTGGTTGTTCTTTGCAAGAAATAAGTTGTGGGTGCTTTTGCGAGCTTCCATTTCTGAGTCCTGCCATTTAACTCTGTTCTTGCCAATTTCAACATTCTTCTTGGGATCAAGTTTTGGCAAAGAGTTGTTTCGGTGGCCGAGGTCTCGTGACTGGAGATTCCTAAAGAACTCATCAGCTCTCTTGAGTTTCACAGGGTCCACATTGATTGCACTGGTTGGTTCTAGTTTAGATTTGTGTCTTTGGAGAGCTTCTAGTTTAGCCAGTTTCAAGTATTGTTGCGACTCGAGCTTATTTGAGATGCAAGTACTTTTGCTGCCGCTCTTTATCTCTTTGTTCTTTTTCAAACATTTCGTCAAGATATTTGTGAAGTTTCTGTTGGCTTTCTATTTGCCTTTCTCTTAATTCATCAATATTTTTATTAAAATGAGTTTTATCGTGATATTTAGGCTTTTCACCATATTTAATCTCTAGTGCTATTGGTTTGCTAGTAGAGTCACTTTTCGTATATGACACACTGACTCTGCTTACATTCTTTTGTCTTAGTTTATGATTTCTCCCGTTCTCATTATAGTCTAAACATAACAACTCTGATCAAACCTGATAAGCCATAGGAATGTTTCCTATGATGCATCGATTTATCCTCGTTAATAGAGTCAAAAGTATGAATTTTCTGCTTCATATTGACAACTTTCTGCATCAATTTGACTCGTTTTTTCTCTCTATTTACCCAATTCTCATACAATACATCATCAGGTATTGTTAAATCGACTTGCCTTTTCTTGAATTTATCGTACGAAATGGGCTTCAAGTCATGAACTAAATAAGGTATTAGGACCAAACCATCTCAGAGATTACCTGAAATATGAAGTTTCTTGCACGCTTGGATTACAGTAGGGCTTTTCAATGAGATAATAAACTCTGGGTTACTGGTCTCCTGGCTGTTTAGAAGCCTCCTTTCCCTACTCTCCTTCATTATTAATTTATTTTAAATATTATTCTATTTTACTTATGATTTGGGGTTTTGGGGTTTTGGGGTTTTGGGGTTTTGGGG